CTCGGGGCCACGAGGCCGCGGGGCTGGGGGAGCCGAGGGGATTTATTTGGGAATGAGGAGAAGGGGAGAAGAGAAGTGGTCATCAGCGTTATCAAAGAATACGCCTCGTTATGGTGTTAGATACGTTTGGTCCGCCCATGCGTCCGACTTACAAAGTGCGCAGCGCAAGAAGTAGGGCGCGGGCGAGTCTTCCTCTATCACCTCGTTCTCGTGAGGTTCTTCCACTCGCACTCCTTGTCTGCTCTCCTATCCACATTACTTTCCTTTTCTAAAAGATTCAGTTTCTCTGCTATTGCGGCCGTCTCAAACATTTACCCGAAACGTTGTTCTCTCCGTTTTATAAGTATACTATATTCGCTCTATTTGTAATCTTTCGCAATCCGTGATTCGTTAAGATAAAATAAAATTAGGTACTTTTCACAACAAAAACATATGATTTAAATGAAAACAACCTCCTGGACTATTAGTAACTTGCAATGCAATCATGTTCGTTTTACTTTTTACAGTGTTTGCGGGGTCGGGGCTTACTTTTGGCCGTGCCGCACGGCCTTCTCATGGTGTTTGCTAATATTTCACGGCTTGCTGCTGTTTGCTCAGGGAAGCGCATCGGGTCGGACTCACGATGAGGGGCATGATCCGAGGTGAAGGAGAAGAATCAGATGATATACGGGGAGCGGGGTGGGGGAGAAATCGCCTCAGGCGTGGTTATGATTCAACCTTTATAGCAGTAATATATTGCTCAGATTACATGAGAGTTTTCGATCTACCTCGGTTTGTGTGTTTGACGGAGGGTGGCTGTCACCACCACTACCGGCCTTTACCTTTAATTCCACCACTGACCATTCCAAGTTTCTGTCTGTCGTCTAAATTCATTGGAATTAACGAGTGTTCGATACAAGAGCATGCTACCACCTATATCATTATTAGTTCATTCGTTTCTCATTTAGAATTTTTAAATTTCTGATTTTCAGTTGATACATAATTGATCAAATAACCCATTACGATGATATTGGAAGTTCTGTTTGACGCTGCAATCGATGCAGTTAGTCATGTCCTATAACGCCATACAAACCATGACGCCGATAGCGTGCGCATATTGCAAGAAGCAGCAACACAATGAGGCTAACGAAAAATGTTGCCTGATATAAATATCATCCCTTTATTTGTGCGTGTGTGTGTGTGTGTGTGAGAGAGAGAGAGAGAGAGAGAGAGAGAGAGAGAGAGAGAGAGAGAGAGAGAGAGAGAGAAACAGAGAGACAGAGAGACAGAGAGACAGACAGACAGACAGACAGACAGACAGAGAGGCATAGTGGCCGAGAGAGAGTTCGTGTGGCTCGTGTGTGTTTGCTTAGCCGCGCTCAGCCATGCCATCGAGATCATCCGCCGACACAAAGCTCCGGCTCCCGCAAGGGAGGGATTTTTTTTTGTTCTGAAAGCTAGACAGAGTTAAGACAAGTCGGAGTAACGTATTTGAATCCGATACTACGACCTCATAGCGAACGACTTCGCTCAAAGCAGCATTGCACGAAAAATGCAACGGTGGCAACTTCAAAGATGAGATAAATATGTTCATGCAGTAAAATTGAATAGCCTCTAGAAAGTGCAATTATATTTTTAACGCGTCTGATAGTCACACTGATAAACTTAGTGTGCAAACTGCTTAACACTTGTAAATTAATGTGAGGCTGCAAGGTTAGTACTTGAAAGTGACCAACTCCGTAGTAGTACTTGCAAGTGTTCAACTATACACTAATAATAAACCAACTGTGCAACAGCTTAAGACTTGCAAGTGCTTAACTCGGCCGGCAGCTATGCACTTGCAAGTGTGCGACTCCTCTGTTGAACACTTCATAAGATTAGACAGATACGGCTCACTGTGTGGGTAAGTGCTCAACAAAGGAGGTGCACATTTTTGCAAGTGGACAGCTACCGTGTTAAACACCTACAAGTGTACTACTGTGGACTATGGAGTTGAACACTTGCAAGGTATTATCAGTGTAAGTAGTTCTGCACTTTACAAGTCGCTCGTCCCTAACTCAAAGCACGCACGGCGCAGCGCCTCTACAGAAACCAAGTATCTTTGCGCGACGCTCGAGAAACCAAGTATCGTTGCCCGACTCTAGTGAAACCACGTATCTCCAGAGTCGCGCAACGATACTTGGTTTCTCGAGCGTCGCGCAGAGATACTTGGTTTCTCTAGAGTCGCTGCGCCGTGCGTGCTTTGAGTTAGGGACGAGCGAAGTGCTCAACTACTCTGTTGTTGAGCACTCCCCACACAGTGAGCGTTCATCCTAAGAAACTATTAAACAGAGGAGTTGCACACTTCCAGGTGCACAGAGGTGCAAAGCTACACGCTTGCACGTGTGCAAATAAGGAGTTTGAGCACTTGCAACACGGTTAAAACATTGTCTCATTTTTTGAGGGAAAAGGGAAAACTTTGAGGAACTCCCTTGGTTTAAGGAAGGTTCCTCAGATTTCGAGAAGTACTCCTAAGTGGTTGGTTTCTTTTGAGGGGGTTCTTTCTCATCTGAGGTGAAATCTGATGAGTTTTCCTCAAATGTGGAAAGTTTTCCCTTTCCCATCAAAGAATGAGACATTGTTTTTACCGTGAAGTATTCAACTTACAGTTGCCCACTTGGCTTACCAGTGGAAAAATGTAGATACTTGCCTGTTACTTCAACATTCCAAATATATAGAGTAAGTTTTACCCAGATCAATCGATATCTACTAAACCCCCAAAATATAATGTACAACGATTCGCTCGCTTTTACGGCAGCAAAAGCCCTGTTGTTACCGCTGCAGAGCAAGGGTGGGCAGGACACTCCCACACCTTTGTGTCGTCGAGTGGGCGTCGTTGTTGACCTCCTCCAGCGCAGCTTCCTCCGCCTCCTCTGAACGAAAGGGCTGCCGGATAAATGGAGCTCTATTTGTATCTCCCACGGCCAGCGCCGCCCTGCGCCCTATAGAGCAGGCGGGGGCCATACATGATGTATCCGACGGTGACAATGCCGACGACAACGACAAATAGGACATCCTTCCCCATTGCTCTTAATCCTATAATCACTAAATCTCTCCCCCTCTCTCTCTCTCTCTCTCTCTCTCTCTCTCTCTCTCTCACTCTCTCTCTGCCCTCCTTCCCCTGTCTCTGTGTGGTTTGCCATTGCCACCAGACGCCCTGAGGCGCAGAGAGGAAACGTGTCGCACGATGCGGTCTGCACCCTCACCATTAAGCCTTATTTGCGCCACAGATTATCGGGCCGCGATCGGGTATCTTGAAACAGATCTTGCAATAATAACCAAACTTGCAGTACACAGAGGGAAAATTGGGAAAACTTGACTTCTCTAGGCAACTTTGTAATGGGTCAGGTGTGATGTCGGGCGAGTGGACCGACCTACAACACTGGAAAAACTAATGTTACGAAGGGAACGTTTCTTGACGCAACCAAAGCAGGAAACGTTTGGTGATGCAACCTAATTGTGATGGCCCTATCCTTTTGCATGGGGTTGGTTGCATCAGGAAACGTTACCTGGCTTGGTCACATGATGAAACGTTCCCTGGGTAACATTAGTTTTTCTAGTGAACAGAAGTGACCTAACAAGTCCGTGGGCCTCGCGGTGGGCACGCAAAAACATGTGTCACTGTTCCAACGACATCTGTCACTTCAACATCAACATTTTGACCTTTGTAATGTCTTCATTAACATGGTGTGCTACATCAACGACACGATATGCTGGCCAACGACATGCATCGGTGGCACGAACCACCGGCTGTCATCAACAGCCACTGTTAAAAATTCTGTACCCAGAAACAGAATTCATGCAGATATTCCTGTACATCCACACTACGGCCAAAATCTGTTCGACTGGTATTTGAAGGATAAATACTTGTCATTACTTGAAAAGAACTTTCCTACTTTCCTCCAGAATGGAGTACAGTGCAGACAACAGGATTACACTGTTTTAAAAATTACCACTCCATTCTGTAGTTATTTACTTTTGTAATTTTTTAACTGTGTCATTTGTTAGCAACTGAAGTCTCTTTAAAGAATTATTCTTTTTTTTTAAGTCTGGAATATTAGTATATCCATATAAAGATATATAAATATATCAATATAAAGAGTATATACTCTTTAAAAAAATCTAATCAGTCGTCGATCTTCTGCATCCCAACATAGTATGGCACAAACGACCAATACCAAGAAGGCTAATAGAACGATAGTCCGTATGAGTTTGGGTTGGATAAGTTCCCTCAGATAATCAATCGTAATTACAGTCAATTTGATTACTTCTAAAAAGGCCAACCCTCCAGAGCCCCGAAATGATGGGGCGTTTCCGGATGATTCTAACCTTGAGAAATGGCTGCTCTATGATTTTAACTATCTAAAGTTGGCGAGAATCCCAATTGACTGATGAGGGATTTTTCGAGCTTACAAAGGCAAAACAGTCGGAATCACTAACGTAACAGTTTGTAATGTTTTCTGGTTAGAGAGCATGCAAGTGTGGGGACGGCTTACTCACGGGGCGTGAAGGCGCCGTGGTGAGAGTGGGTAGGAAAGCCCTCACGCACGCGCACAGTATAATCAGAAAAAAGTCCGCGGGCTAGAAGACCCACTCCCTTCAAAGGATTTGCTTCGAAAAATAACGTTGCTGCCAACTTGTTATGCAAGCTTGGAACAGTCTAGATTAGCGTCCCAACACCCCCCACCTTGTCACTTTCTCACCTGCACGGCGCAGTATACCCCGGGACTACGATTCTACCCGGGACGGGACGGGCCGGCGCCTCGGCACGCAGCGGCACGTAGCGCTGCGGCAGACATAAACTCCCGGGGGCCACCGCTTGTGCACCGGGCCATAGTAGCAAGTAGTGCAGGAACCATCCACCACGACATCGCTGGCTTCTTTGGCTAAGGAATAAATGATATAATTAATCCTCACCGCTTTTCCCATTAGCGCAGCGGGCGATGTAACGACCGTGATATGACCCTCAAACGAAATTTGTATCGGGCCAGGAGAATGGTGCAACGGAGCAAGCCACAGGGGCTGCGAGGGGCGAGGGACGTGCTGGGGAGGGGATGAAAGAGTGGCTCAAAGAAACCGAGAGTGTCGGATGCGATCCAGTCCATGAGAGAAGAATATGAAACGGTGATGCGGAGAGGGGTAGCGTGGCGAAGGGTATTGTAGGG